CTCTCCCTATTTAGTTTTAATAAACAGTTGCTAAGAATGTAAGAAATATCTTTGTTACCATGTTTACTGGTGGTATTTAGTTTTAATAAACAGTTGCTAAGAATGTAAGGAGAGTAAACATTACAACAACGAAAAAACTTTCAAACATTTTATTGCACGTAAATGTTCAAGAAAATAAAACAGATGTTTATACAAACGTATCAGGATTATGAAGAACGATATCAATTTTTAAAATTGTAAATAATACACTAATATTTCATGAAAAGGAATAGATAGAATATATTTAGGAATGATAAATGGAAAAATGGTAATTTACCACAATCACATGTATCTATCCACTTCTTAATCTTCAGTCAACAGTTGTCATTTTTATCTATTATCACAGGGACGGAAGGTTAAAAAAAAATTGTTTGTTTGTTGTGAAGCGCGAAGCTACACGACGTGTTATTTGTGCTCGGCTCACTGCAAGTATCAAAACCTGATTGTTAGCGTTATAACTCCACAGATTTACCCCTGAACCACCTTGAGGAAAAATAGAAAAAAAGAAAAAGATGAGATAATACAAAAAAGTTATCTTAACATTTGACGAACAGTGGAATGATACATAAACAATAATGTACGTCTTACATTTACTACACTAAACATGGTTGTTTTTTAATTAGGGTAAAACATCATGAACATATCTTGTATAAATATGAAATGTTTTCGTGCTATACAAATAAATATTCTTCTGTTTTCTTTCTTCTATTTGGATTAATGTATTTTCTGCAAATTGATCAGAAATAACACAACATCCAGGAAACATTTGGACCATAAACATACAGTAACTGAGGAACAAAGAATTATGTATTACACCATTAGGCTTAAAATAAAAAAAATTACAAAACACTAATTATTGCACTTAAATTAAGAATTAAATAACTAAGACCTATCTAACTGTCAACCTGACTGTCTGTGGTAAACTTATCTGTGTGATAAAACCACATTTACTTACCAACCTCACTGTCTGTGGTAAACTTGTCTGGGTGATAAAACCACGTTTATTTACCAACCTCACTGTCTAGTTGTAAAATTGTCTGAGTGATAAAACCACATTTATTTATCAACCTCACTGTCTGTGGTAAACTTATCTTTGTGATAAAACCACATTTATTTACCAACCTCACTGTCTGTGGTAAACTTATCTGGGTGATAAAACCACATTTACTTATTAACCTGAGTGTCTGTGGTAAACTTGTCTGGGTGATAAAACCACATTTATTTACCAACCTCACTGTCTGTGGTAAACTTGTCTGGGTGATGAAACCACATTTACTTATTAACCTGACTGTCTGTGGTAAACTTATCCGTATGATAAAACCACATTTATTTACCAACCTGTCTGTTGTAAACTTATCTGTATGATAAAACTACATTTATTTACCAACCTCACCATCTAGTTGTAAAATTGTCTGGGTAATAAAACCACATTTATTTACCAAACTCACTGTCTAGTTATGGCTGGAGACGGCTTGAATGGGTAATAAAGAAAAACTTTAATATAAGTTTAACATAACAGCAAATGTACAACGTTTCGACAAGGTTTTGTACCTGTTTTGGTACCTGATGACGGCCCATTCAAGCCGTCTCCAGCCATTATTAGTCTCAAAGTGGGTTCCTCGTCATCGAATTTGAATTCATCACTGTCTAGTTGTAAAATTGTCTGGGTGATAAAACCACATTTATTTACCAACCTGTCTGTCTGTGGTAAACTTATCTTTGTGATAAAACCACATTTATTTACCAACCTCACTGTCTAGTTGTAAAATTGTCTGGGTGATAAAACCACATTTATTTACCAACCTGTCTATGGTAAACTTATCTTTGTGATAAAACCACATTTATTTACCAACCTCACTGTCTAGTTGTAAAATTGTCTGGGTGATAAAACCACGTTTATTTACCAACCTCACTGTCTAGCTGTAAAATTGTCTGGATGATAAAACCACATTTATTTACCAACCTGACTGTCTGTGGTAAACGTATCTGTGTGATAAAACCACATTTACTTACCAACCTGTCTGTGGTAAACTTATCTGTGTGATAAAATCACATTTATTTACCAACCTGACTGTCTGTGGTAAACTTGTCAGGGTGATAAAACCACATTTATTTACCAACCTGTCTGTCTGTGGTAAACTTATCTGTTTGATATAACCAAATTTACTTGTCAACCTGACTGTCTAGTTGTAAACTTGTCTGTGTGATAAAACCACATTTACTTATCAAACTGACCACTTTTGTACTAAAACTTGTAGTAAACTTCTTTATCTGATAAAACTATATTTATTTGCCAATCTATTTTATGCTTTCCTTGTAGGGTTAAACAAGCAATCATAAGACTACATTTTTTCTTTGAATATATACCAAGGTCTTAGTAATTTGGTTTGAGTAAAACACATTATTCAAACGTCACAAGGTGTAACACTGTATTATATTCAAAACAAGTTTTAGAACCAATGTGAAAATAGCTTTTTTTTTATAGAAATTTTGTTAATTTTATCTCGTTTATGTTTCTTTTAAAGGGTTAAAATAAAACTTGTAATGCTAGAACAAGTAACTTAAAAAAAGCCAGAGAACTTCTTACTAAACATAGGTGGTGAAAGGACTTTTGGTTTTTTTTTTGGGGGGGGGGTATTTACTATGTTAATTGTGACCATTGAATTCAAAGTTAAATCAGCAGCTTTTCCTGATAATTATACACAAAACGTTTCATGGGGACACGTACCCCCCATTGTTCCCTAGTTTCACCGCCTGTACTTATCATTGCTTTCTCTTATACAGTTATTTATTTTCAGAATATACTGAGCGTGTAATTTTTGACATGTTGAGAAACTAAATCAGCTTTATTAGTTAAAATAGTGACTCTGGGGGATCGTGATTAAAAACCCCAAACACGAAGTCTAGTTTATCAGTTATGTGCTTACCTTAATAGATTGTCTTTCCTATCGCTGCTCGTTCCGGTTTCTTTTTTTTAACCTGGGGAACACAAACAAAATATAATCTGATTAGAGATACAGATGTGACGACTGATTCAAATACAGAAAAGTTCATGACACGCCCATTTTACCGTACAGTTGTGTAACTACATACCTCTTTCAAGGTTGAAGATCACGATCTGTCTGAATTTTCACATCCCTAAACCGCTGAAACACTTCTTTAAGTTGAATAACACTGATTGGCCTCGTCGTTATAGCTAAAATAATCGTAAGTGATCTAATCAAAATGTCAAGCAAATGGGAAACGTTTTTCTTACAGATATTGGTGTTAGTTTCGTATACCACACGGACCAATCAGAGCTTGGTAGAACAAAACATAGTGAAGACACCAATGTGAATGAACTAAGTTAAAAACCCGTTATGAGCCTGACCACACGGACTAAAGAACAGAACATAGTGAAGACACCAATGTGAATGAACTTAGTTAAAAACCCGTTATGAGCCTGACCACACGGACTAAAGAACAGAACATAGTGAAGACACCAATGTGAATGAACTTAGTTAAAAACCCGTTATGAGCCTGACCACACGGACTAAAGAACAGAACATACACCAATGTGAATGAACTTAGTTAAAAACCCGTTATGAAGTATAAAATCTTTCTATCATATGACTTAAAATCGTTTAGTAAAATTTATTCTTACAAAAATATTCGATATTATAAGTTTGAATCAGATATACCTTTTTAATGGGTGACAAGTACAAACGAGAAAAACTCAGAAGGGGATAGTTTATAAGCTTTTTCATTGGCTGATTATCTACATTAGTTTATAAGTTTTTTCATTAGCTGGTTATCTACATTAGTTTATAAGCTTTTTCATTGGCTGGTTATCTACATTAGTTTATAAGCTTTTTCATTGGCTGGTTATCTACATTAGTTTATAAGCTTTTTCATTGGCTGGTTATCTACATTAGTTTATAAGCTTTTTCATTGGCTGGTTATCTACATTAGCTTACAAGTTTTTTCTTTAGCTGGTTATCTACATTAGTTTATGTTTGTCTCTTGACCTACCTGAAAATTACAAGCGCTGTGCCAATAATAAACAATAGAATTACACTTCCAAGAGCAGTCCCAACTATTGCTGTATTTTTCATAGCAGCTACAATGAGAAAAGAAAAAAAGACATATAAATGTAACCAGACAGAGGAGGATAAGTACTATATTTTGTTCGTAACATATGAAATTTATTTGTTGACATTGCAGTTAAAGACTGAGAATAATCACATTTCAGGTTTTAATTTTTAACCAATTATAAAAGAACAACACGTTACAGAAAGAATAGGCAATAAAGTAACAAAACAAATGAATAGTTTAATTGTGAAATAATTTTATAAACTTATGAAATTGTAGTGTCAAAAATGTGTTTTTTTTCCAAGATGAACATTTTGAAGCTATAAAATACAGTAGATGATGTTAATAATGTTACTTAAAAAGTAAAAATATTTATACTTGTTTTGCCAAATTTCGCACTAAGCTATCGAATTCTCTCTCTCTGCAATAGCTCCTAAGTTTGAGATGATACTCTAGAAGGAAGCATCACACACCGCCGCCTCTTGGACTACTCTTTATCAACGAATGGTGAAACTGACTATCCCATTATAACGCCTAAATGCCTGAAAGCGCAAGCATGCTAGTTGACGGGATTCGAACCTGCGACTCAGAGCTTGAGAAAAATAAAGAGAAAACTAAACTAGTTAATGAGTTCGACTATACACCAGGTCGATATTTTTTGTTGATAAACATAAATATACACGTTGGGCTATCTGTGCTCTGCTCACCGAGGATATCGAAACGCGACTTTTAGAGTTATAAGGCCTCAGTTCTACAGCTGAGCCATCAGATAGTTGATACGTTTACTAAACTATGATTTACTGAAGCCGTGCTACAACTTAGTAAGTAATTAACATACCTGACAGAAAAGTATCTCTTTCCTCACAGCGGATCCCTGTGTAGCCCTTGGCACACCTAACAAAGAGACCACGTGCGTTAGAAACCAAACTACCCCATCTTTAGTACAATAATTACAAAACTATTGTTAAAATGAGAAAAGTATTTCTTGATATTGGTGGAGGAATAAACAAAATAAAACGTTCGAAGAAGATAAAAAAATCTATAGTAATTTCTGTTAATAATATAAAATCAATTCGAAAACTAAGAATATGAACAACTAGGTTAGTCATAAAAATACTTAATGTCGGGACTAACTTGCTGTTCTGAAACATGTAGATTAAAAAAACAACACAAAACTTTCAAAATACTCCCACAACCCTTAAATACTAGACATTATTTATGATAATATATATGTTATATGTCAGGAATAACACAATATATTTTTAAACTTTATTATAGGTTTCAATATGTATACCAAAAATAACCAAATGTATAAGAAGAAACCTTTATTAGTTACTTGGAAGAATCTTTTTTTAATTTAAAAAAAAATAAGTTCAGATTGTGTTAATATTGTAAAAGTCCATCTCAGCTCTTGGACTGGCTTAATCCAGTACGACTTTAAAAAAACAAACGAAGTCTTTGTTACTCACTTGCAGTAGAAGTTATGTAATGTAGTAGCTTCACACTCGCCGTTTGTCCCACACGGGCTATCTGAACAGACACCTAACACATACACCAAATGTTTTACTGCGCTTCAACAAATTGTGCCACACTTTTATATAGATCAAATCTCTACTACAAAATATGTCTAACAGATGTTAGAGTTGAATAGAATATATTTAAAAAAGAAATGTTTTACTAGCAAACAATACATTAAATGGAGTAGACATAGTAGACAACAGACAGTTGAAGTCCATCACAGTTTTAAAACCTAATCTTTTCACTCAACAGATAGTTGCAGTTCATCAAAGTTTTAAAACCTAATCTTTACACTCAACAGACAGTTGAAGTCCATCACAGTTTTAAACCCTAATCTTTTCACTCAACATAGTTGAAGTCCATCAAAGTTTTAAAACCTAATCTTTTCACTCAACAGACAGTTGAAGTCCATCAAAGTTTTAAAACCTAATCTTTTCACTCAACAGACAGTTGAAGTCCATCAAAGTTTTAAACCTAATCTTTCACTCAACAGACAGTTGAAGTCCATCAAAGTTTTAAAACCTAATCTTTTCACTCAACAGACAGTTGCAGTCCAACAAAGTTTTAAAACCTAATCTTTACACTCAACAGACAGTTGAAGTCCATCAATGTTTTAAAACATAATATTTTCACTCAACAGACAGTTGAAGTCCATCCAAGTTTTAAAACTTTCTGTAGTTTATGAATATCAAAACATTTGGAGATATACGACGTTAAAATACAAAATATTTCATCCTTAATATAGATTTTCCATACTGAATTCAACATTAAACTTACACGTGTTGTTATGTGGTTTAAGAATTCTAGGTTTGATCAACTGCTAAGTTATTAATATCATCTGGTGCTTTCTATCTAACTACTTACAACTACTAAGTTATTAATATCATCTGGTGCTTTCTATCTAACTATTTACAATTACTAAATTAATAATATCATCTGGTGCTTTCTATCTAACTATTTACAATTACTAAGTTAATAATATCATCTGGTGCTTTCTATCTAACTATTTACAACTACTAAATTAATAATATCATCTGGTGCTTTCTATCTAACTATTTACAACCACTAAGTTAATAATATCATCTGGTGCTTTCTATCTAACTATTTACAATTACTAAGTTAATAATATCATCTGGTGCTTTCTATCTAACTATTTATTTTTCTGTCAGTCAAGAGCAATTTGAAAATATTAAATAAAGTATGATCCACGAAGGAGTAAGCTGTTATTAATAGGAATTTCTGAGTGAAAGAACCACCGAGGCCTTTCGCTCAATACCAGGTCTCATCAGTTCGGCTGGAATACGAAAAACTGAGACTAACTGGTTGACTACAACTGTTACGTTATGGACTGGCTTAAGTTGTTGAAATGTATTTTTTTCACCAATCTTATGTACGTCACAACACATCCAAATTAATTTCATATTTAGTTAACACTATTTTTTATTTATTTTAACAACACCTATTATTACTTGTAAGGCTTCTGATAAGCTAGTAGTAAACAATATAAGATATTTCATGATAATGAATTGAACAATGTAAGTTATTTGATAATATGGGATTAAACAATATATAATATTTAATGATATGATATTAAATAATGTAACTTAAGTGATGATATGGTATTAAACAATATATAATATATTATATAATAATAATATATTAAATATATTAAATATTAAATATATTAAATAATGTAACTTAAGTGATGATATGGTATTAAACAATATATAATATTTAATGATATGATATTAAACAATGTAACTTAAGTGATAATATGGGATTAAACAATATTTGGTATTTAATGATATTAGATTAAACAATATAACTTAATTGATAATATGGTATTAAACAATATAACCTAATTGATAATATGGTATTAAACAATATATGACATTTAATGATATTGGATTAATTCAGTGCATGGTTTCTAACGGTCTGAAACCAAAATCAAATTCATTACGTGCTTTTAAAAGATAGGCCGTTGTTTTGTAGAACATTGTAGTTGCGATTTAACTAAATCATAAACCAACTATAGAGCTTGCGAAAACTTTATGGTTGCACGGGTTTCTGACATTCTCGTCATATCTCTAACTTTCTTGATATGCGAGATATTTTCAAGAGAAATGGAATTAACACCATTTAGGACACGAAAAATAAATAAATAATAATAAATTAAATTTCTGGAAAATATAACTGAGATAATCCGTGAACTCATTCAACATTAAACTTTAAAAATACGACCTATAATTACAAACTCTGGCCACTTGAAACTTACCTATACAACCTGTCACCTTCGGGCCATCGTCGGTACTTTTCGGCTTGTATCCTTCTACGCATGGGCAAGAATAGCTACCAATTGTATTCATACACTCTGTAAATGACGGACAGACGGAGGGGCTGGCACATTCGTCAATATCTGGAAAACAAAGAAAGTAATTTGTCTGAAAAATGTTTGTCCCATAAAACTTAAAGTCACACGTGTGACGTGACTGTGGAATTCATCATGACGTTTGTGTGAAACACATCAAATAAAAGCCAATTACAGAACACGAAGACGCATCAGTGCTTTGAATGTGTATATATTAGAAGGTCCATCTCAAAATATTGGATCATTCGATGACCTAAGCATCAGAAAATAAGTCGTTTTTTATTTTTATTTCATTTATTTTTGGGCTAAGAAAATTTGGAATACGAATTCATTTCCAAATCCAAATAAGCATATGAAGTATATCTATCGTAGAAAAACCCAAAATTGTATAAGTTTACAGAATTTATACTTCAGATCACATGAAGTCAAGAATACTAAATATTACTGACAAGTTGATGATTATCAGTCTATCTGTCTGTGTTGTTTATTAGTACAAATCAGTTTTTACCGTTACTAGTTTTATATTTCCGTGAATTGGCTTGACAAATTGTTGACAAAAATCGTAACAACGTACAACTTCCCATTGGAAGAATTAATTACATGCATGTCACGTGAAAACTTATCAATGCGAAAGGGATAGTACTCTAAATAGGCTCCGCCTTTACGCTGGATCGTCGACTAATGGCGACATAACATATTCATACACTGATAGTAATAGTTAGCTCAGAAGGAAAACCTTAATGTTTCGATTAACTGTTATCAAATAAACTTAGTGAGATGTGTTCTATTATGTAAAACAATAACAGTTTTAGTAGAAATGCACTGTAACCATGTTTCAGTCCTTCATCTTCACCTACTCCACTCTCAAAACCAGTACAAGTTCTCCTTATAGTTTGTTAGAGATATCTAACTGTCAAAACTCTTAAGCAAATTTAGTTATTTCTTGAACCAGAGAAAAATACACAGAAATAATATGTATGTATGTATATATATAATAAATAATAATAATAAATAAATCCTAATAATATATGTATACATTTAATTATGAATTACTTCATATGTCACCCCTCCAAATGAAAATATACATCTTATAATATTTACTTCCCCAAATTAGAAAAAATCAGGTTTCGATACCCATAGTGGGCAGAACGCTGTTAGCCCATTGTGTAGCTTTGTGCTTAATAACAAAGAAATTAACAAACTTACCGTTACAATACTCAACAGTTCCTCCCTTTCCTATTTTGTAATCATGAATCTTCTTAAAATGTTCCTCACAAAAACAGGAGAATTCAATGGTTCCGTTGTGTTTTTTACAACTTGTGTAAGCAGGACACACTTTTCTTGGAGTAGAACACTGATTTATGGGTTCAAATATAGCTACAGAAATAAACAAAAAACAACAAATCTTTTTTTGACAAGAAACCGTGCACATAACATGATGCAATCGTAAAAACATATCATAATATGTACAATAATTGTCTTTCGTTTAATGTGATTTTAATTTCCAATAACGAAAGAAAGATGGCGCCAGTGCACCAGTGATCTGCAATAATATTAATTATCAAACCTATATCGAGAGGAAGATATTTAACATAAGATTTTAAGCGAAGAAAGCCGATAAGTAAAATTAGACTAACGGACCTGGACTTGAACTCAGCACCTCTGGATAACAGGTTCAGTGCTCTACAACTCAGCTGTCCAAAAGTAAAAGCTCCACCCGCCAATGTTTACTTTTAAAGTTTTTTACCACTTGTATGGTTACCATACGTTATGGTAGGTACTTGGGCGGTGGCCGATGGGAACTGAATAAACTGTCGTCTATAAGTTATTAGGTCCATCTATTGGTGATGGCGCCAAAATGTTACATCTGTTTTTACTTAAATGATTAACAAGGTAATGAGTAACGCTGCCACATGACCCAGAGAATTAAGAGTTTGGACTAAACCTTCTCACAGAATTTCCTAAGTTAAATTTCAAGTATGGATCCAGCTAGAGCTGATGAATAGTTGTGATTCTGGATCTACATATTCTATGGTTGTTCTTCAAGTATGGATCCAGCTAGAGCTGATGAATAGTTGTGATTCTGGATCTACATATTCTATGGTTGTTCTTCAAGTATAGATCCAGCTAGAGCTGATGAATATTTGTGATTCTGGATCTACATATTCTATGGTTGTTCTTCAAGTATAGATCCAGCT